CCCCCCCCCCCCCCTTTCCCAGTCCGCCCGTGCCCTCGTGTGTGTACAAATAATCTTCTGACGTGGGATGGACGCGCATAAAGGAGACGCTCTCTATTCGGCTGCATTGTTAAAAGCAAAAAGTACCGTTACCAATCACGGCCGCGCGCGCGCACGGTATACAGGGGGGTCCATTATAATTAGGTTGGAGCGTGCATACCGTTAATGGACACAATATACCGGAGCCGCGTAACAACGCGACTCACCGCTAACCGAATTACTCTCCCGCTCCCCCTCTACCTACCACCTCCCTCCCCCCGTCCCGCTTCTCCCGCTTTTCCCACCGTCGCTTCCTTTTCTCGCCCGTCCCATTGTTTACTTTACGCCGTCCATCCTCTAAACGGCCCCGGGCTAAACAAACTTACGGGGTTTTAACGCTTAACAAGCTTAGCGATTTTGTAATTGGGTTACCGCAGTCCGCCGCGGATGGAAATCGTAAAAACGCCCTCCCGACGTGACGGAGTCAGGAGGACTACGCCGTGGCGTCTCATGATCTTCTTTCCGCGCCGATGAGGAGGAGAGGGCTCCGATATGCGTTTTACTGCATATCGAATAAACCGTACGTAAACACGTGCTTCCGCGCAGCGCCGGCGAACGACGTCCGCGTATTACGCGCAACATTAAACCGCGCACTCGAATAACCCTCGTATAAACCTTACACGTGTTAGTATCCCATACGGCGCGCGAGCACCGAAACCGAGTACCTCCTGGTGCTTCGGGTTTTACAGCGCGCAATACGTTTCGCGGATAAATGCTTGATATTACGGCGTGTTATACGAGAAGCTAAACGTCGCGCATTATGCAAGTGTAACGAGGAGAAAGTGACGGATGGTGAAAAATGGTGGCTCGCGATGATAGAAGGCGGGGGGTCGGCGTTTTGTGCCGAAGATTATTGCCCGAGTCGACATTTCAGGCTTTGTTAAACCTGATCTCAATATAGTAGGAGCTAAGATAGTAAAATAGGTTGAATTTCGATTCTAATGATATAACTCGTACTTTGGCCCTGATGATGCCTGAAATATCCATTCTCGCTGTTTTACCATTAAAATTCGATCCGTAGAATTACAGGTTCGAATGAGAAGTTGAGAAGTATCAATATCGTCAAAGTAGGTTTTCATTAGACTATGGGTCGTCTAAGTAGGCGCAAACTATCCTTGAGAGCGTCAGAGTAGCATGAAAATTTCGACTCGGGGCGCATTCCGCGCGAGAAGCGCGATAATTGCACGATTATTATTTGCGTCGCTCGATCTCGCGTCTCCACGTCGAGGTGATCGAACGAATCCGCTCGGTCTGTGAATCGCGGCCGAGACGCGAGAAGAAAAATGTGCGTAAAGACGCGGCGTGAAAGAATCTCGTCGTGTATGCCAGGAACATTTTCTCCGTTTTCCGGGGCTGTACGGTGAGTGAGATTCTCTTCGAGTTTCGCGTATCCATAATACATTATCGGGTTACCATGGGGGAGCATTGTGGCCACCGTAGAAACTGCCGCGCGATCGTATATCGAGTACTCGTATGCGCGGGCGCGTGTACGAAGGCTTGTAAATTTCTTCCCAACCTTCAACACGGATTAGGTTAACCCCTATAATATCATCATAATTCCCATGTTACCGCAACCGGACGCGCACGTGTGTATGTGCATACTGTTAATCTATAGTTACACATAAATATATGTAATATGTATTTATACAGGGGTGAGGAGTCAGTGCCGGGGACAGTTGGCACACCGAGTTATTTGATTTTTACACTTGGTGTATATAATACATTTCTTTATCGAAATGCATCCGATGCGCCTTTATGTGACATGTATGAATGCTTAATTTACCAAGTTGTCAAAAATATAATTTGGAATCGAAGTTAATGAAACCACATTATCGACCACCGAAAGTCATTATTTTCTTATTATAATATTTGTGATATCTTAGTCAACATGTTGGGGCGATCTTTGAGCAGAAAAAATAAAAAAACAAAAATCTTTCAAGTTTATCCTCGGCAAAAAACAAAAAGTGCCCGGAAGATCTCCATCGAGGCGAGTCCGAGCTGCTGAAATCGCTTTTCGATCGGCCACGCTACAAAATTCTACGAGTAATACAATCATCGTGTTCCCGTGACATCTTTCACAGCGGGCTTTCAACTTTCACGTCGGGAATGTGTCACACATTTTACACGTTCGCGCGTGCAGCCGGATGATATTATGCAACGGGATATCGTGACATAACGTTACGACGTTCCGACACGCATAGATAACGGACTTATAAAATATTTTCCAGTAACGAGCGTAGTGAACTTCCATTGTCGTGCCAGTTACGAGGCGAGCGCCTTTGGTATCGCTTACGGTATACGGCAAATGTGCATTAATATTTATACGGGACGATTGTGCGCGACTATACCGGTGTCGAAAGTGCAAGCGGAGGGTGCGATGCAGGCGCCCGCGAAAATGGAACGAGAGGTATTTACGATCTACTAGATCACTCGCGTGTAAAACCCGACGCGTGTTATTTAATTATCAGGTAACCAGTTACGTTTCATAGACGCGGCGGACACACAGCAGCAGAGTGTGTAAAATTTATTATTGAAAAATATCGTCTCTCTCTCTCTCTCTCTATCTCTCTCTGTACTATCAGAGCGAGTCTGAACCACGCGCAGCGTGCACGCTTTATGGGCCCGTTTATTAAATTTACTGCACGAGCTCATTATTAACGCATACTACGCGTGAGTGTGCATGTATCTTTCGTGCTGCTTCTTATCACGGCACGAAACGGCGCGAAACCGTCTCGTCGTTTCGAAATATCGATACATCGTCTGATTATCTAATGGCATATCAACTTCGCGAAGGGCGCGAATCGGACGTACACAACCGTCCACGACGATATCGATTTCGCCGACTCTCGACAGCCGCGATTCACGGGATTACCTGGTGAAAAGATCCCCCCGGTCCGTCTGCTCCCTACTCCCTATATCGACGAACCCGTTATCTTGGATTACATCACAGAAAAAAAAGATTGCACCGCCGATAGGACAGTGCGGCGTCCATCGCTAGATTGGATCGGATGTTTCATGATCTTCCTCGCAACGGCGGCTGGGACGCCAGAATCGTCTTTGGATCAATCGATTTGCGCTAGTGATAACATTCCCGAGACGGGACGGGAGGGGTGCGTTTTGCTTTCTCGATTTCTATTCTGCCGCTAAATGGAAAGAGCTTACGCCGCGCTGGAACGGAGGCTCACGATTCTCCCCGCGCGAATCGAAAGGACGCGCGATAAAAACCGGCACCCCTCCCCCTCCCTCCCCCTATTTAGGCGCGGACGGTTTCGCGAAATCCCGAGTCGAAATTTTAGTTCTACGTCGAGTTTTCGGAGGTCTTTCATCGCGCCCCTTTGATGCTACAGATGGGAAGTTATTTTCGTTTTCTCCTTAAGAGACCAATTTCACGTCGTGCGTGCACCGTATTACGAGCTATTAAAAAACGCACGTATTACTTTTTACTCATAATAATATCGAAATGTATAGAACGGAGGGGGAATTGCGATAATATCATCGATGTTAGAAGAAATTACACGCGCGAGCAATATTATTATAATTTTATTTGAAAGCAAAAACACGCGCGGAGTGCGGGCGATATATCGCCATAACGTTATATTAATATATTTTTTTTGTATCGTTATCATATTATTTCTCTCGCAGTTACAGTTTCATCAAAAGCCCCGCGACTGCGGATTTTATTTCTCGCCAAAATTTAAAACGTTTAACTCGTTTGCGCAAAATTCGCGCTATAATCTCTCGTCACGCCCGTTTCACGTGCGAATGAATTTCAAGGATGAGGCGAGGCGGGAGAAATAAAACGGCAAAAATGAAAACCTCGTCGCGCCAAGGTATCACATCCGTGGAAACCGGACGGTGTGCATGGTGATACATACACACACACACACACACACGCAGATGCGAATCGTAGATCTCGCGTGCTCGCGCGCAACCTTTCCTCGCCGCATCGCCTGCTGATATACTGACGCGGCGTATCGGCCAATTATTCACGCTTAATGTCGTATTTGCACGGAGCGGGGGAGGCGGAAAAGGGGGTGGAAACGAAGACGAAACACGGACGTGTGTGCGAAACGGTCTTCGCGGTAACAGCTCCTAATGAAAAGTGAATAGGGTGCCGATAAAAATCGAGAAGCGCCAGCTCCCGCGGTTAAAATGGCTGTCTGCTTTTCCCGAGGTTTTTCCAAACAAAGCCACGTTGCCGTCGGATGCCAACGGCTGCGCGCAACCGGTTGTGTTTCGCCTTCTCGATCCTCTCACACGCCTCGCTCTGTCAATTATGCACGTCACGCATACAGGATTTGCGCAAGTAATTAAAACACCCCACGTGGTATCGTGTTGAGAGAATTCCGGCTCGGCATGAATGAGTGAGTCACTTTTTGACACCGTCGTTCAAAGAGAGAGAAGACCCGCTCGTTGACATGAGTATCCGACTTAGCGGCGCGCAGAGAGAAGCGCGGCAGACGCTTCGGTGGATCCGAGCAAAGTGCCCGGGCGATATCGTCGCCCGAAGATATATCACGGCCGTAGGAAATTGTGCTCGTTACTTAGCCACGGTACGAATTGGCAACATTGCCAATATTGGTAGATTATCGGTATCAGATGTTCGTATATTATTGCAGCGGCTGATTATACCGGCGTCAACAGTGACTGGAATACGCGTGCCACCCTGAAACCCGATCCTCCACCTCTCTCGAAGCCGGAGGAAGGGAAGCGTATATATGTATAAAGGGGGCGCGAGACTCTGGTGCCCGCTAGAAGACGTAAAACTCGGGATTACGGTACGCGGCTCGTTTCGAGATGTTTGCGCGAAAAAAAGAGGGCGAAGTTGGTGGATCGTAAAGTTCGAGATTACGCCGTTCGGGTTTAACGGGGCGCAGAGAGAGAGAGAGAGGCCCTTCTCTGCGAGCGCGCGCCTTCGTGCGAAATTTGCATGAAACTGTTGTAAGAGATCTCGCAAGAAAGTGGCAATGAAGGCGTGAGATATATAGGCATCGTTACTGGACTGACGCGGAAGCGAGGCGCGTACAAATAGGAGCCCTCGCACGAAGAGCTACCGGGGGCTAAGAGCATCCCCGTGAAAATGGACCGTAAAAAAATGTCGAATGTCGGGAACACGGGAGTTAAGGAGGCGGCCGATGGAAAACGCGACGTTTCATCGCGTCGTGGGAATCCGCGCGGCGGCCGAATAAAGGCGTGAGCGAAACGCCGCTACCCCAATGAAGAATGTATAAAGGCGGAATTCATTTAGCGTTTGTACTTTTTATTTAAATTTGAAATTATACTCGTAGAGAGAGAGAGAGAGAGAGAGAGAGCATCTCTCGCCACTCGAGTGTACTCATTCGCGTATTAGCTTATGCAAAGCAGGAATGAGCGGCGGAGAGCGGAAGCGAGATACTTTTTCGGAGCGCCATTAGGCGAAAATGCAAATGGGCTAGCTCGCGTCGGTTACCTTTCACCGTTGACGAACGAACGTAAACGCAATTTCGCCGAAGATTTGATCGATTGCCGAAGAGAAGAGCGCAAGGCGCGGAAGGCGTACGTTCGCGCTCACCGAAACTGACTCCCAGGCAGAAGCGTGAGCGCAATAACGTTTAAAGAGACGGTTGTTACGAAGCGGAGAGCCGCTCTGTGCCGGAATGTGCCCGACGTGCGCGAAAAAACGCAAGTCAGGATCGCACTTGGAAGATCCGCCAAATACGGCGCGCGCGCGACCGTTTGATGTCCGGCCGCAACCGGACGTTTAGAGAAAATTATCGAGTTTTCTTGCCCATCGATCGCCTTCCGCTATTCGCCCGTTCGTGTCTCGTCTGCGCAGGGCGTGCTTCGAATATCGATCTAAAGTCAACGGTCAGGAAAGTACGGTACGTACTCGTGAGAGCTCGACGGCAGAAAGACAAGTTAAACTTCACGTCCTTGCGCGCGCTAAGAGTTTTCACGGTTTTCATGAATAATAAATTGGACGAACGGAGTTCGGGAGAGAGAGAGAG